GGAATGCTTGACGGTGGCAATGATGGCCAGCGACGTCCGAGACGTCGCTCCCCGCAGCTAGGCCACAGAACCCAGCGGCATGGCAAGAGCAACAGAACGCATGGCAGCTCGACTTGGTTGGGAGACTTGAGGTTGGAAGTGCCGTGTTTGTGGGATTAGCGATCGATCGAACCTTGTACTACGTGCAAAACGGCGTCAGGCAGCTACCAAGACTCCTGACGGTCTTTATTGTGTTGAGCTGCTGCCATTGTCGTGGGCTTGGTGACAACTCTGGTAGCGAAATCGGTCCTCCGATTTCAGTTTGCGAAAGGGTTTTAAGTTGTCGACATTTTCCTCACGAAAGACGAGGCTTGTGCAACAAAGCGGTGAGTTCAACCAGTCAGCCACCTAAGCGCCTCCTCAGAACCGCATCCAGCTTCAACGCACGTCGCCCGTTCCAGGTCGACGAGGACGTACTAGCAACCAAGCGAAGGCGGCCCCCGTCGCTGCTCGTTGCTTTCCTGTGCGTCGCAAGCTCCTTTGTTTAGTACGCTGGACTGAGCGTCTGTAGCACTGCGAGCTCGCTGCTTGACCTCTCCAACCTTTTGCCCAACTTGCCGTTTCCGTCAACACGCCTGTCTCTGCATTTTATCAAAATCGTCTCAATCACAGAAACCAGCAAGGGCAAGGCAAAGCCACGGTACTATTTAGACATGAGTACGAGACAGATGCGATCGACGACCGCGTTCGTTGCGACGTACGTCGTTCGGATGACTGATGAGCGCGTCGTCGTCGACGTCGTTGTTCGAGCAGGACGCGACGACGGCGAGAAAGGCGGCCATTTCTCATTTCAGCCAATGGCCTCGCGCCATTGATGCGATAATTGACCAATGGTCGCTTTGCGGAACACCAGCGTCCTCCATAAAGTAATCCTGCTGATGTCTTGCATGGCCGACGAGCTCGAGAGGACGACGATGGAGGCGCTTCTCCGCGGCGACGCGCCGCCGGCCGACGACGGACAGCCACGGAAGCGCAAGTACGTCAACCACCAGAAGCTCGAGCTCGACTACCTCCGCAAGAAGGTCGAGGAGATGGAGAAGCAGATGGCGATCCTCGGCTCCATGCAGACCGAGACCGTGCTTGCCGGCGCGCAGTGGCAGGACATGGCCAAGGATCAGCAGCTCCAGATGCAGCTCGCGATCATGGAGAACGCTCGGCTCAAGGCTGCGCTCCAAGACGAGCTCGCGTTCGCAGAGACGCTCGCCGGGATCGTGC